TGACACGAAGTGCCTCTTACAAAAAATAATATCCCCAGAAGAACTCAAACTACATGTCCGGGGCATGAGGAAGGTCAAAAATGGGGGAGTTATAATTAGCGCTGAGACAAAAGGGGATATCGACAAATTAAAGAACTCCGAGAAGCTTGTATCTTCTGGCCTTACCATGGAAGAGCCGACTAAACGACGTCCGAGGATTGCAATTGTTGGTGTCCCTTTAGCCCTCACGGATAAAGAAGTGTTCGAGTGTATCTTCGAACAAAATATTGCCGATAAATTTCCCAAAGCCACGCGTGATTCTTTCCTGGCAACAGTCAAACTGAGCCATAAATCAGGTAAGAAAAACCTTCCTACATGTAATTACATTATCGAAGTGCCACCTAGCATCAGGAAGGCCCTTATCAATCAAGGACGAATATATATTAATTGGACCTCATGCCCAGTCAGAGACTTTACAATAGTAACAAGATGCTTCAACTGCCAGCAGTTTGGTCACTCAGCCAAATTTTGTCGTGAAAGTTGCCCTACATGTAACTACTGTGGAGAGCTTGGGCATTCCTTTAAAGAATGTAATAACAAAGCGCACGCCCCCGTTTGCGCGACGTGTAAACGGTTTAAAAGAAAATGCGACTACAAAACTGTTGATGAAAGCTGTCCAGCACGTAAATTCGCAGAGGAGAAATATATCAACTCCATAGACTATGAGGGCGCCTAAGAGCGCCGCGTATTATATTATTTACTTAGCTCTTAAACACTAGTTTTAGTTTATCCTTAAGCTTAAGTATGGCGAATCAATTACTCAATGACCTAGAAAACTTTTCTGTGTCTGACGCTAAAACGTGTAATGTTGATGACTGTAAACACTTCCTTCCACGTACTGAAAATAAGTTAGTCTTACTTACACAAAATATTAGAAGCATAAATCGGAATATAACCGGGTTTGAAGTCTTGTTGCATAGACTGGATATAAAATGTGATATTATTGTCCTTACAGAATGTTGGCTGTCAAACCTCCCACCCCACCTACCGATTCTAGATGGCTATTCTTTACACAAAACCGAAAAAAACATAAATCAAAATGACGGTTTAGTAATCTATGTTAAAAATAATTTAAAAGTAACTGTTACAGAACCTACATTCCAGGATAGTAATTGCTTAATCATTAGAATTAATTCCGAGACGATTGTTATCGCAATTTACAGACCTCCTTCACAAAATATTGATAGATTCCTAGAGTCCCTTGATATTACCTTAAACAAACTTAGCTCGTATAAAAATATAATCTTAACGGGTGACATAAATATTAACATTACCCCTGGAAAAACAGATAACCATGCACATAACTACCTAAATATTTGCTCTTTTCATGGACTATTACCAACACATTACCACCCTACACATCAAAGTGGCTCTTGTTTAGACCATTTTGTGATTAAATCACATAAACCTTCTTTAACATTAGTTACTAATTCCTTGCTTACTGATCATCAAGCAATTTTACTAACATTACAATTAGCCTTACCTAGGAAAAACTGCATACGCAACGACACTAAAGTCCATATGACGAACCTTGAAAATCACATTCGTAGCATTAATTTTGACGTTGTTTACTGCTCTGACAATGCAAATACGTCCTTGAGTTACTTTATAAATTCTTTACAATATGCAATAATGAATAATACATCAACAATAAAACTATCATGTAAGTATTATAATATTAAACCTTGGATAACACCTGGTCTCGTCCGCTGTATAAGAAATAGAGACAAACTTCATTTAAAATCTAAACTTTCTCCTGATAATTTAATACTTTCTACTACTTATAAAAGATATAGGAATTTTTGCAATAAACTATTAAAAAACCTCAAAATACAATATGACAAAAATGTTTTACAAAAGGCCGGTAAAAACAGTAAACTTGTATGGAAGTTCATTAAAAATAATGCCTTCAGTTCAAAAAATCTTGGACCCCCACTTGATCTACTGTTATTAGACAAAAGCCCAAATGAAGCAACCAATAAAGTGAATAATTATTTTATTATTATTGGCAAAAAAATAGCAGAGACAACTTTAAAATTAAGCAACACTTGTAATCCAATTTTTATGCCCACATCCTTTTCTAAGTTAAATTCTTTTGTATTGTTAAATACCGATATTGATGAGATTTTAAGTATAATATCTGGCTTAAAAGAAGATTGTGCAGTTGGATGGGACAATATACCTAATAGCATACTGAAAAGATTTAAACATTTACTGGCCGCCCCGTTAACACATATCTTTCAATTATGCCTAACAAATGGTATTTTCCCGAAACTGCTTAAAAAAGCAGTGGTTTCTCCGATTCACAAAGCTGGTGATAAAAACTTAGTTAATAACTATAGGCCGATTTCAGTTCTATCTGGTTTATCTAAAATTTTAGAAAAGATCATAAATACCAGGTTGATAAAATATCTGGAAACTAATAACTTGCTGTCAGACAGACAATTTGGGTTTAGGCCTAAGAGATCTTGTAATGATGCCTTGCACCAATTGACAGAGTATGTCACAAGTAATCTTGACAATGGTTTATACTCAATTGGGATCTTCCTAGACCTTGCCAAAGCATTTGATACTATCTCTTGCCCTTTACTATTGCAAAAGCTTGAAACACTTGGCATAAGGGGAACTCAACTACAAATTTTTTCCGATTATCTAAGTGATCGCTTTCAATGTGTAAAAATCGGTGAGTATACAAGTACTGAATTACAAAACAGTTCTTTTGGAATCCCACAGGGCAGTATCCTGGGGCCTACATTGTTCCTAATTTATATAAATGACTTATGCAATCTTCAACTTCAAAATGGTGTCATAATGTCTTATGCGGATGACACAGCCCTGTTATTCTCAGCTAAATCACGAGATGAGGTTTATAAATACGCTCAGCAAGGCTTTAATATAGTATCCAATTGGCTTATAAATAATCTCCTAAGTTTAAACGCAGATAAAACACAATATATGTTATTTTTAATGAGAAATAATAACATACCTGCTGACCTTAATATTTACGCTCATCATTGTAACTCGTATGACGACATTGCATGTGCATGTCCCGCTTTAACAAAAACAGACAATATAAAATATCTAGGTATCACGTTTGACACAAATTTAAATTTCCGCAAGCACATCGATTTACTTTGTGCTAGAGTTCGTAAATTAATATATATTTTTAAATATCTTCGTAACATCGCTGACTTCAAATTGATAAGACAGGTCTATTTAGCTTTGTGTCAATCCATACTCACTTATGGCATTACTTCCTGGGGTGGTGCTTCTAAAACAATATTGCTCCCACTAGAACGTGCTCAGAGAGCAGTTCTAAAGGTAGCCACTTTCCGTCCATTCATGTTTCCTACACATCAACTGTACTTGGCATGTAGTGTACTAACTGTCCGTCAGTTGTTTATCCTGAAAATCATATTAAAACAACATACCGAACTTCCATTTAACTTAAAATCCATAGACAAAAGAAGAATGGACTTAGTTTGTGTAAACCCTCAAACCAAACACGCATTTGTGAACAAATTTTACATATTTTTAGGACCCTTTCTATATAACAAGCTCAACAAGTCACTAAAGGTATATAGTCTAAGTTATAAGGACTGTAATATAAGTGTAAGGGAATTTCTAAATAAATTAAATTACGAAGACACAGAGAAGTTGTTAGATATACTAAAATAGTTTGTATTAATTGTAGACAATAAATAATTGTTATTTAGTTATTTTATTTATTATACAATTTAGTTTAATTATTTAAATATCTAGTGTCCTACATTATTAAACCGATTGTATAAGTGATGTCTGAAACACAGGTACTCAACCTAGTTCAGGCAGGTAGCTAATATTATAAATATGAATTTTCTATCTTCTTTTGTAGATTCTACATTATTTAGCTACACATAGTTTTAATTTTATCATAGCATGTTATTTTTGTTAGACTTATTGTTACTTTATTAATTGTAATCATTCTGATTCCTGTATGTCAACATGTGTAATTCGAAATGAAATAAATATTTATTATTATTATTATTATTATTATTATTATTATTATTAAACTCACTACCGGGATCAGAAGTTATTTTTTTAGGTGTTCCGTATATTGAAAAATATTTAATAAGCGCTCTTACGATTTCCGGTGCGGATCTATTTGGGATTTCGATAGCTTGTCCTAATTTACTAAATGCGTCAACCAAAGTTAGGTAATAAACGGATTCAATTGAAAAAAGGTCCATGAAAACTTCTTGGAAGGGGGCGTTTTGGGTTTGAGTTAATTGAAGTAATGGTTTAATGGGTTTTCTTTCATATTTCATTTTTCTACAGGCATCACAAACATTAAGTACTGCAGCAATCGTCTCTTGCATGTTCTGCCAATAATAATTTCTTTTAATTCTACTCATTGTTTCCTTTATTCCTCTGTGACACGTCTTTCCCTCATGATGTTGCAGTATGATTTCTTTTTGTTCTTTCTCGTCTTCTACATATATAACACGCTCTGTACATTCAATAAATTCTACCATTCCCTTTTTAAATAGCTGTATAATAATTTTAGAGAATTCTTTTCTATGTTGAATGTTTTCGAAATAAATAAAATATTTAGTCTTGGGCTTAATGTACTCTTTTAAGAAATTTTTAATAAGATCTTCATTCTTAAGTGGGGCAAAAACTTCGAGAACCTTTTGTTTATCCCTGGATAAATTTCTTACTTGTACTTCATTTTTATGCCAGGTATAAATTAAAATTTGGTTTGGTTTTGAGTCAATGGCCTCCTTTAATATCGGAATACCATTAGATTCTAGATCTTGTCCAGAATGCACAGTTACTATACTACTATCAGAGGATATAGGTGGTAACGGGTATTTCGTGTTAGTCTCTAACTGGTCGACGGATACAGTGGCGGATGTGTCAGTTATAGTTATTGTCCTAGAGTCGTCCCTGTTTTCAGTCGTTAAGTCCACAATTTGGTCTTAACGACTGTCAGTTAATTTTGTCAGATATTTTTGCAGTTTTTGTTCTTTAGGGTCCAGGTTTACTTCCAATGATTGTGAGTCATCAGAGTCTATGGGATTTAGTTTTATCCGAGAGAGGGCATCAGCATTAATATTTTGTTTTCCGTTTTTGTATACAATATCGAAGTCGTACTCTTGAAGACGTAAACGCCAACGGGTCAGTTTACTGTTCGGTTCTTTAAGTGAGTAAAGCCAAACTAGTGGTCTATGGTCGATATATATGGTGAACTTACGCCCGTAAAGGTATGGTCTAAAATGTTTTACGGCCCATATTATGGCGAGTAGTTCACGCTCTATTGTACTATATCTGGACTCAGTGTCGCTGAGAGTTCTACTGGCGTAGGCAATGGGCTTATCGGATCCTATTGTCCCCTGCGATAAGACCGCACCTAAAGCAACAGTAGAAGCATCTGTAGTTAAAACATTAGGTTTGTCTGGATCTGGGTATTGGAGTAAAGGTGCATTAGTCAGAAGCTCCTTACACTTCTGAAACGCATCAATATATTTTTGATCTATTACAATTTTATTTCTTTTCTTTAGCATGCTGTAAGGGGCTGAGTGATTTTGGCGAAGTCTTTTACAAAGCGTCTGTAATAACCAATCAATCCTAGGAAACTCTTGATCTCGGTAGTCGTCCTTGGTAATGGGTAGCTTAATACAGCCTGAATCTTATCATTGTTTGGTTTAAGTCCGTCTTTAGTAATAACGTGCCCTAGGTATAGCACTTCTTTTCTCAAGAGTTCTGATTTGTCAAGTTGTATTTTTAAATTAGTCGATCTCAATCTGTCAAAAACTGTCCTTAATTTTTGTAAATGCTCCTGGAGGCTACTCGAGAAAATAATTATGTCATCAAGATAGACAAGGCAATGAATTCCTTGTAAGCCTCTTAGGATGTTATCCATGGCTCTTTGGAAGGTGGCTGGAGCTGTCTTCAGGCCAAAGGGCATTCGAAGGAATTCATAGTGTCCGTTCTTTGTGCTGAATGCCGTTTTTTGTCTATCTGATTCGTTGATCTCAATTTGGTGGTATCCACTAGCTAAGTCCAAGGTTGAAAAGTAAGTACTCTTACCTAGTTTGTCAAAAATGTCAGTGATATTGGGTAAAGGGTACTTATCGTCCACAGTTATGTCGTTTAGACGTCTGTAATCGATAACCATCCTATACTTCATTTCACCAGATGCGTCTCTCTTTTTGGGAACTAAATGGACTGGGGCTGACCAAGGCGAAAAGGATTCCTGAATCACATTATCATTTAATAGTTTCTGTACCTGGTTTTTAATTTCCTGTGTTTGTGCGGGAGGTTGCCTGTAGGGTTTGACATAGATAGGGTCTTCGTTTTTTGTTCTAATATAGTGTTTCACCTCATTAGCAAAAGATAAAGGTATTTGATCGCTATAAAAAATATCTTTATATTCTCTACATAAGTGGTATATCGATTTTTGTTCTTCTTCCGACATGAGGTCTAAGCGTAGTTTCTCTAAATTTTGCTCTAATATTTTATCTACTTCAATATCTGACATATCTGTAATATGGTTAACTATACATTTAGTCGCTTTACTATCTTCATATGCTTCCATTCCCAATTAAGCCATCGTACCTAGAGTCGACATTGTAAATGTATAGTTTATGAATATCGTTACAGTTGAAAATTGGTAAAGACGGGATTTGAATAACTTGATCATGTCTGCTCGATGCATGTGTGCTAATGACTTCGAATGGTTCGTGACTTATGTACTCTGGAAAGTAATTATAAGCCTTTGATGGACTAATGAATGATCGCGTACTACTTGTATCAATCATAAATTTGGAGTCGATTTCCGGTATATAAATAAACGGCAATCTCAAATTAGTACTACAATTTAACTCTATTTTTTCGTAGGTTCCGAGGCTTCGACCTGAAAATCCTTGTCGTCCATATTGGTTGGGACGCTATGTGTTACTTCAGGAATTATTGTCGGATATTCATTCTCATAATAATCGAGCTCGGGAACATTAAGGCCACTGCTTGAGTACTCCTCATAGCAGCAGTTATCATAAGAAAGTGGGTACACATCGCCGCACGCATCATCGTAATACGTATTATGAAGGTCGAGTTCATTTAACTGAAAGCCTTGTTGATTTGTTTTAAGTGGTGGTGCCGTTCGCATTGTGACGTCACTGGGCCCAGTGTATTGATTTTTATTTAACTGAGGCTTGTAACCAAATTGTTGGGGCTTATAAAAGTTTTGTTGTTGGTTTCCAAATTGTTGTGGGCGCATACCGAATTGTTGAGGTTTATTAAATGTTTATGGTTGCATCCCGAACTGTTGTGGACGCATATTAAATTGTTGTGGGCGCATATTAAACTGTTGCGGGCTTATACCAAATTGTTGCGGGCGGAAGCCGAATTGTTGGGGGCGGTATCCAAAATTTTGTTGATTATTATTAAATTGAGTTAGTTTTGATTGTGACCCTTGCGGAAGTCCAAAGTTAAATTTGTTAGGGGTTAATTCGGGTTTATAGCCCATAGGTGCCATTGAATTAAAATTATTTGTACCGAATTTAAACGTAGGATTATTATTTGGTATTCTGGGTGGCGTTAGTTTATTACTAGGATTACTATACATTTTATTACGTAAGGTATACTGCTCATGGAAGTTGACTTCTTCCATGACCACGCTTAAAGCCTGTTCTAGTGTACTGGGCGCTTTTAAGCGAACAATTCGCACCATATTTTCTGGCAAATTATAGAATAGAATAGAATAGAATGATTTTTATTCAATATGGATTATTACATAATACTTATTGAAAGTCATTATTTTATTTACCACTGGTTCGGAAAATACCTCTGTCCTGGGAAGAACCAGCAAGAAACCCAGCGGGACTTTTTTTTAAACATAATTTCACTTAACAATAATTTTGTTTATACAATTTTAAATGAATTTTCATAGAACCAGCATGGTGGCGATCACCTTATTCCCAGGGGTTATTTTCATTCATGTATTCCTTGATATTATAATAACCCTTTTTGTACAGTTTTTCTTTAATAAAACTTTTAAACTTGTTTATTGACAAACTTTGAACATGTTCTGGTATTCTGTTGTAAAAGCGTATACATTGCCCCATAAATGAATTACTAATTCTGTGGAGTCTTGTAAGTGGCATTACAAGCTTATGTTTGTTCCTAGTGTTTAAGGTATGAACATCCTTATTCTTATTAAAGCTATTTATGTTTTTATGTACATACATTACATTTTCATAAATATATTGCGATGCCAAAGTTAATATGTTTATTTCTTTAAATTTTTCTCTAAGGGATTCTTTACAATTTAGATTATAAATCGCCCGTACGGCTCTCTTTTGCAAAACAAATATAACTTCAATATCAGTCGCATTACCCCATAGCAAAATTCCATAAGACATTACGCTATGAAAGTAACTAAAATACACTAACCTAGCTGTCTCAACATCTGTGAGACTTCTAATCTTTCTTACAGCATATGCTGCAGAACTAAGTCTGCTTGCTAATTTAGATATATGGGGGCCCCATTGAAGTTTCGTGTCAATAGTAATACCGAGAAAAACAGTGGTATCCACAAGACTCAACTCCTCCCCATTTAAGAGCACATTGGTTTTCGAATGTTTTACATTAGGTATTGTAAATTTAATACATTTTGTCTTATTGCCGTTTAAGAGCAAATTGTTGGCGTTAAACCAATGTACTAGTTTCGATAGAGCATTATTTACATCGTCATATTTAATTGACTGCCGTTTCAGTTTGAAAATTAAAGAGGTATCGTCAGCAAATAATACTATATCGTGATTGTCCCCTACAAGATAAGGTAAGTCATTAATATAGATTAAGAACAGGAATGGGCCAAGAATCGAGCCCTGAGGAACGCCCATTGATACTACCGATCCGGAGGAACATTTACCATTAATGACGACTTTTTGAGTTCTGTTACTTAAATATGAAGTAATAAGTTTAAGCGCCAAATTTTTTACACCGTAATGTTGTAGTTTCCTGATTAATGTATCATGATGAACACAATCGAAAGCCTTGGAAAGGTCACAGAAAATACCTAAGGCATCTTGTGAATTCTCCCAGGCATTAAAAATATATTTCATAAGCTCAACACCGGCGTCAGACGTCGAGCGACCCCTTGTAAAACCAAATTGATTTTTATGAAGTAATTTATTTGTATTAAAAAAAATTAACAATTGATCCAAAATTATTTTTTCAAAAATTTTACTGAGAGTTGGTAGTACAGAAATAGGTCTATAATTAGCGGGGTCCAATGTACTACCAGATTTAAATAAAGGTATTACTTTACTATACTTCATTAAATCAGGAAACACACCAGAATCGATACAAGTATTAAAAATAATAGCAAGATGAGGTGCAATTAAATCTATTATGGACGCAATCACTGTAACGGAAATCCCCCACAAATCTGCGGTTTTCTTTACATCAATGGTTTTGAAGTATTTTACAATATTATGCGGTAATACTTTTTCAAATCTAAATTCTTTTAAACAGGTATTAACATTCTGTTTAAGTAATGATTCGGCGACAGTTGGAGAAGCCTTCAATGACTCTGTTGTCAAGATAGGAACATCAGTGAAATATTTCTCAAACACCGCTGCAACTTCTTGATTTGATTTAGTCAATTCATTATTAATTTTTAATCGATAGTTTGAATTACGAGGTTTCTCTTTACCGGTTTCGCTGTTAATTATACTCCACGTCATTTTTATTTTATTCTTAGCTCTCTTAATTTTGTTACTAATATGTATTGATTTGGCTGTGGAGCAAACTCTTTTAAACATTTTAGAATAATTTTTTACATATTCTTTAAAAGCATCGGAAAGATTATACGATCTTTCATGGTAAAGGTCATATAACCTTCGTCTGCTTTTATGAATTCCTACTGTCGCCCACTCATTAAATGCCTTGCGACTGTTTCTGGAGAATGTTTTAGAAGTGAATGTTTTATTAAATTCATTGTTTATAAAGGTAAATAATTCTCTATATAAATAGTCTGCATTGTTCTTATAAGAAAGGGATGGAAGGATTTTTAACATATTACTTCTAAATCTCTCCAGGCGTTTTGCATTAATAGGAACAAACACTATTTTCTCATTTACCTGTTTTTTGTGCATATAAGGTAACGAAACCAGTTGTCCACAGTGATCTGAACTAAGTTTTTGTATTATTGATTTGTTGATTGGTACAACACCTGTAAAAATATTATCAATACAAGTTGCACTACACCCTGCAATACGTGTAGCTTCAAAGAATAAATTATTAAGATTATAGGATTTGAACAAAGAACAGAATTTAATAGTGATGGAAGAAGTTTCCAGGAGATTGATATTAAAGTCTCCACACACTACAAGAGATTTATTCTGTTTATTAAGCTTAACTAAAACTTCTTCCATAATTTTTTCAAAAGTATCATAACTTGAACATGGGGGTCTGTAAACACTGACAACAATAAGGTGCTCAAGCTCAACACATGCCATTTCTACAGTACGCTCAACAGAGAGGCTCACAATGTCTT